TCCCTGAGTCTTTCTCTACTACCATGGTCTTGGTTAGCCAGAGATACCAAGTTTCCTCCACTAATTGCTTCTGCTTAATTTTCCATGCAGCCTGACAAAAAGGAATGTGGCAAGTTCTGTCTCAGCCCGAAATCAGGCAAGACAGGACTGCATTGCCCTTATTGACCCAGGAGACTGAGGAGCCAATTAGAACTCCTTCTAATTCATACTCCAGTGGTGGTCAATGCAGGGCTGGTCAAGAGCATACAAGGAGAAGGCACTGGGTGCTTCCTATCTAGTTTGGATTTGGTGGGGGGGGGAATGAATTAGCTCATTCTGACATCATTTTGGATGATTGTTAAAAAGCACAAAACGTTGGAATGTCAAAATATCTTAAATAAGTTGGACTCCTAGAAATCATTGGAGTTCTTTTCATGAGTAACTGAAGATTTCCAGAGCCTGCAACCCCCTTTGCTCAAGAAGTGCCTATCAGGAAGGGCATTTAGAGGATATACAACCTTCTTTTCCAAGGCTGATTCACTTTTCTGGATCTTAGAGACAGAATGATGACTGCTAAATGAGGTGTGAAAGGAATGTTACTTTGAATAAAAACATATAAAGGGAAATTGTTTATAAATTTGAATTGATAAGTAACTCAAATATTAAAATTCCTAGAATAGACACAGTTCTCTTATACTACATGGACTTGTATCAGGACTTTTTCCCTACTTTTTTTCTCTTTGCAAGTTCTCATAGTGTCAGTATGATGAAATTCTGTGATGTTTACTGTAGAGAGCATAATCCTCGTTATTTCCTAATCAGTCTTTAGATTGATTGAAATTTTATTTTGAAATTTTGATATTTTATTTTTGGTGGCTTAGCAATGTTTCCTTCTGTTTCCTCACATCTGTGTTATGGATAAGTGTCCCGCAGAGGTGCCTGTGTTAAGGGCATGGAGGAGATAGGAGGTGTGCAGGTCTCTGGGACTGTGCTTCTGAAGGAGTTTATTGGATCGTGATCTTTCCTTTTTCTCTCTCCCTTTGCTTCCTAGTCTGTTGGGTGAGATCTTGATTGTACTATGTACTGTCCATCATTGCCAGATGGTATGCTCCACCCACTTGAGACTGAAAACAGTGGTTCAGTCCAGTCTGGATGGGAATTTCCAGAGCTGTGAGCCAAAATATGCCTTTCTTCTAAGTTAATTGTCTCAGTACTTCATTTTAATGATAGAAAGCCAACTTACACACACACCTATTATTGGGAACTTCACCAAAAACATAGTATTGGTAAAACTTATAGGATTGATTAGATTTTAGAGAAACTCTTACTTTTTTTCCACATATGAACTGTATAAGATTTCAGAACATTTCCAAGTTAGGGGGTGGGTATGTATATTTAATTTAAATGTTCTTTGAGTTAGAGTTCATTAATCATATATCATCAGTTTTATGTTGGGCCCCAGAGTTAAGATTAGCTTTGTTGGTGGTGGGATTATAACAATAATAACAATGACTGCAAGTCACACAAATATATCCCACTGAATCACAAATGTTACATATAGATATGTTCATCCTAGCCAGATCACTAGGATTCCTGAAGCCATTCCCCCTGTCGTTCAGCTCAAGGAGGGAAATGTAGAAAGACAATGATCTTAATCAATGAGAGTTTAAATAATTTATGTTTGTACATTTTATAAAAATACGGAATCATGTGACTGAGAAGGGCCTTTCCCAAGACTCTAAAAGGGCTCTGTGCAAGCAAGGAATCCCTTGCATATATACCTTGTTAGCTCTATGAAAGAAATCTACATATAAATATGTACTTAGATTAAAGTACTCCTACATCCCCAGATGGTGGGCAAGCTAAGCTTCCCTTACTAATTTCGTTCAAATTCAGTTACTCGTTTCCTCAGCTTGCAAATCTTGCCTATTTTAACTATGCTTCCACATAGTTCCCTGTTGGTATAGGAGATGAAGCAGACCCAAGTTTGAAGGAATTTGCCTGAAGCAGCAAATAGGTTTGGGTTCAAGTTTTCCCATCCATAATAGAGAAGCCTTCCTCTTCATCACCGAGGTCTCCTTTTTACATGAATAGTTCTGAATTTGTGTGTCAGCATTATTTTGATAACCAGATATCTCGTAGTCCCACCAAAGAAACACTGTTCTAACATGGGTGAATGATTAGCTTGTCTAGCTGCCCTCTTGGAATGAGGATTTGGATTTGAGTTTTTGTGACCAGTCTTAGTGTTTTCCCAGAGCATCTCACAGGTCTCTTGTGTGGGGAACGGGTTGGACCAAACTCTGAAGTAGAGAGGGTAGAACTGAGAGTGGTCCAGGTTCAAGCACAGGGTACTACTACATCTGGATGGCCCTGTTGAACGCTGCTGAATCCCAAGTACTGGATGGAGATATAAAGAATTTTGAGGAAGGCATGCCAAAGCATATGCCCAGAAGTACCCTTGCCTAGATATAAATAAGAAGGATGTGGATCGCAGGTGGCAGAGCTCTTATTTTTCCTTTGTCCTTTCACTTCTTTACATACAGGCAACAAAGCATACAAAGATAGAATCTGTTGGAAAAGTTACACTTTCCCTGAAATTGCTCACTGTCATTTTACTTGTATTTAGATATTGATAATTTTTTTGGGGGGGTCTGGTCGTGGGGCCTGAACTCTGGGCCTGGGTGCTGTCCCTCAGCTCTTCAGCTCAAGGCTAGTGCTCTACCACTTGAGCCACAGCGCCACTTCCGGCTTTTTTCTTTTTGCTTATGTGGTGCTGAGGAATCGAACTCAGGGCCTCAGGCATGCAAGGCAAGCGCTCTACCGCTGAGCCACCTTCCCAGCCCCGTGATGATTTTTTTATACAGAGTATGATGGTTGAACTTCAGTTTAAAAAGCTTTTGTTATGTTTTGTCTTCATCATGTTTTGATTCCTGGTTGTCTGTCCCCTGTCCTTCCAACCTTACTTTCCTGGTTGGATCTCTGGTAACTCTTTTTCTATTAACGCCTATTGTCATCACACTATGTGTGATCCTCTCCAAATGCTATTTGTGAAAGAGTCAAAGGATGAAAATCATCCACTTTGTTTGTCTTTGTTTAGGAAATGGGCTAGATATTGGGAAACTGAAGTCAGCAGTGAATGACCACGTACACACTGCTCTTCTGCTTATCTTTTTCCTGTTGTGTGTACTCACTGTCTCCCCTTTGCCCCCACCCATGGCATAGCATTTGTTCCTGTATGAGATGGTTCAGAGCATTTTGTTTGAAAAATGCTTGATGAACTTAGCTTGGAAAAGATCCAAGGAAGGCATGTGAGCTTCAGATATTTGAAGGGCTCATCATATGAAAGAGAAGAATGCTTTTTATTCGTCTATAAAACCAAGTAATGAAATTGGGTTCACAGATAGAAGTTACAGAAAGATTCAGTCTATTATGATGATCAGAAATGGAATGTGCCTCCTTGTAGTGGTCCATTGGCAGATAGTTTAGGGAGTGTATGCAGAGTTCATTCTTCTGGGCCTTGCTGAAAACAAGCATAAGGAAATATGGGTAATATTCCAATGTTAGGTAATATCCTGACAGGTGAGATAGCCTTTTTCTTTGACTTTACCTTCTTCTAGGTCCACATGACCCTCACACCCAGAAACTGGACTCTGAATCTCTGATTCCTGTATATGGCATCTCCCTGTGTATATAACCCCTTTCTATTGCCTGGCAAGGACCTCATTCTGTCTGCTGCTTGACCAACTCCTCTTTGTAGACTCTGGAAGTCATGGCCTTCACACGTGGCCTGTCTAATCATCATCGCTCTGCTAAGGGCTTTGCTAATGCAGATTAAGTCAGTGGTTGAAGTGGGTTAGTCCTTTCCCCATTACCTGTAATTCCACAAATCCATGGCTTTTCATATTTAGCTGGGGGATCTGTGTTTGCCCTGATTTGTCAGTGGATTCCATTGGTGGATAATCTCATCATGGTGTACCTCCTCTGTGCTTTCTCTTCAGTTTTCTCCTTCACAGAATATTAGATCATAACAGACTGGGACAGTTCATTTTGATCTGCTTAATAAGTTTGATTAACAAAATCTATCCTAATTTTTGTTGTCTTTATCTGTTAGCTTTGTTCTCATTTTCTTCCAAACTAGTGCTTTTTTGCTACCTAAGAGGCAGCTGAGCAATGCTTATATCCTCCATACAGCCCCCTTTGTTAAAATGCCAAATTCCTTCTACTCCAAGGCAAAAGAGAATATATTTGAAAAAAATCTACTTTTTATTTCTAGAAAGTAAGCTCCATGCATTTATATGTTGTGAAGTATTTTACTGAGTAGAATCTGTCCTTTACCATTAAATTTTTAAATGTAACGAAAGAAAAGTCTGGTAAGTGGGCCCATTGTCCCGCAATGATCTAGTCTTTGCCTTACTGGTCTAGGGGGAAGTTGGAGTGTATTTTCAACAGTGGAAGTGAAAAATTAGCAATGTCCTATGCCCACAGCTAAATGGACTTGAGTCTTTACCCAGTCATCATGTAGGAGCAAGAACAGCCTGTCTTATTAGCTGCTGTGGTGATGTTATGGTCTGGATAAGAAATACTCTTCCCCCTTCAAAAAGAGGCTCATTACTGAGGGTGTGGTTGCCAGCTGGCGGCATCATCTGGGAAGTTCTGAAAACTTTGAGATGGAGTCTAGCATGAGAAAGTAGGTCATTGGAGGCACATCTTTGGGGGTGAAACTTTTCCCTGGCTTATCACCCCAACACTTCTCCCTGCCTTTTAGGAACTGGATGCCTCCATCACACCTTCCGGAAAACATGATGTTCTATCTCTCTCCAGCTCTGAATCAGTGGGCCCAACAACTATGGACTGAAATCTCTGAAACTGAATCACAATAAGTCTTGCAGCCTATTAAGTGGTTCTGTTACCTATTTTGACACAGCAAGCAAAAACTAGCAGCAGTTGTGTCTATCACTTAAGGTCTTAGGTCCTTACTAAACCTTTTGTCTTCTTGGATTATGACCCTTAACCTTTGTCACATTACTGATTTGGAGTGTCTGCTTGATCACCTGGCAAAAGTAACACCATCTCTGGAGTACCTCAGTCTGCTGGGCAATGTGGCGTGTCCTAATGAGCTAGTCAGCTTGGAAAAGGATGAGGAAGATTACAAGAGATACAGGTAAGTGTCCATGTGGTGGAAGAAATGAATCTCTGGAGGATGATGTGATACTGAGGGCCGCAGAAGCGAATGATAAATATTAGTGGACTTCACATGTTGTCAGCATTCTGACCTTTGGAAAACACATAGCTATTGTCTCCCTTTGTTGAGTCACAGAAACAAGGCCGATGAAAAGCTGTTGAGTGGTCTATGTCAGAGGTTTACAAACTTTTTCTTTTCAAATAATAAGTAGGTTTGTTGTTGCTGTTGTTGTTGTTTTTTACCAGTTCTATGAAGTCTGTCATAACTATTTAATCCTGGTGTTCTGGAACATACGTAGCCTAAATAATTTGTAAACAAATGGACTTGGCTCTGTTAAAATAAAACTTCATTTATAAAATAGACAAGATTTGACCCCTGTTATAGTTTGCTGACCTTTAGTTTGTATTGTATTCTGCACTATACCTCAGACTCACCTTTTAGAGACAGACCTCTTCCCACCAAAGTTTAGGGAAATCACATATACTCCCAAGAGGAAGGCCCACATGCCTGTACTTCTTTGCCTTAAATCCATTAGCCATGTGCTTTGATGGCTTCAGGTACAAATTCAGTTTTTTTCTCTTCTACATCTAAATCATTTTACCTCTCTTGATTTTACCTGATGCACAAAATTCATTTTGGTTTCCTTCTTCATTTTGAATTCCACACACCCCCATTCTTGGTTCTTATTGTATAAATGTTTTAATGATCTTTGCATGTATGTAGCTTTTCTCTGTGTCACAGTATTAACACCCTATCCATGTTAATGTGGAAAAGAGGAAAGAAGAAAGGGAATAATAGATAGGGTTTCAGGGACATAAATTTGAAAGAGTGAGGGAAGACCAACAGTTTCAGAGGAACTTGTTCTTTGTGGACTCATTGAATATACTGTGGTGACTAATGAAAGAATATAGTTTATATAAGAGGAAAACCATAATAACTACTGAAAGTTATTTTGAATTTTAAAATGTATACACACATTAATAAAGCTACAAGAATTCAGTTATAGTTCTATTTGAATTGTATAACCTACTTCCTTTTCTGGATTTCTTCATTAATTTTCAGGGGTCTTAGATTATTCCAAATCAACTTAGAATAAGTTATAATCTTACTTTAAATAAGTGTTGAGTATTTCTCCATCATCAGAGTTTTCATTTGGGATATGAGGCTGCAGTAGGTTTAAATGTGAGTTATATTTGGGAAAATGTAGTTCATATCCAGCAAGTCGATACTTTCACATTTCTAAGTCCTCACTTTAAGTTGTTCAATCACTTAGAATATAATTTGTTTCTGGAACACTATTCAACTCAGGCATTTAAAAGCTTGATTGTTTTAAAATTGCAATGATTGGTATTGATTGTGCATATTAATGGTTTCACTGTTACATTTCCAGGCATGCTTATATTGTACTTGGATTATGTCCACTCTCACAACTACCCTCTCTTGCTTTCCCATTTCTGTCATCTCCCTTACTCCTTCACCCTTTAGTAGTCCCTCTACTTAAAAAAATTTTATTTTCCACATATGAGAGAAAACATATCTTTCCCGTAGCAAGCTTATTTTACTTAACATGTCTTAAATACCATTCGTTTTATTGCATAATATCATTCTGTTCTTTATGGCTGCATATTACTTCATTGTGTATACATACCACATTTTCTTTATGCATTCATATGTTGATAAACACCTAGGCTGATTCGATAGCTTGGCAACTGTAGCACTTTAAATATATCTTGAGACATTACAGAAGTACAACAAAGTTTTCCCATTAAACATATTTTGAAGGAATTCTCATTTGTTTTCTGAATTTCTTTAATTCATAAAAATGATTCAATAATAGATATGTGCATAACATGTATATATGTATTCTATGTTCACAAATGCTTTCATTCATGTCCATTCATTTATTTGTGTATTCATGTATTCACTGTATTATATGTGTCTACTACTGTTGGCAAGTTTTGTTATTTTATTTTTCTAAATTGAGAGATAGTAGAAAGAAAGTTTCCATTTTTGTCCTGTTGTGTTTGGCGCCCCCAAAGAGAGGGCTTATAAGATTGCAAGTGAAAAAGGAAAGCTAATAACACTTCACTTGTTATTGTAAATGGTCACATTGGTTAAAAATTTTAAGATTCATGTTGTAAAGTAACAGATCTGATGTCAACTCAGTTTTGGCCAGGGAGCCTTTAAAATGGGAAGTGTGTTTTTATTAGTGATCCCCAATGACCTCTGAACCATCCAAGGCATCACAGTAGCAAACTTCAGATCATCTTTTGGAGATTCAGATGTTCAGCTGGCTCTCGCATCCTCACCAACGGCGACTGGGCAGTGGCCATGTGCTCCCTGTTCTGTCTCAGCTTTTTGTGGATTCCATTGTAGAGGTTTCTCTCACTACTGTATACATACGTTTCAACATCTAGAGAATGGCTTCCAGTGAGTAACGACCAAGTCTACTTGTGACACGAAGCCTCAACAGTACCTAACTAGTGCTGGAGATGCAAACATCTCTCCATAACTTTGCTGGAGGTGGAGGTCTGGAATCACCTCTCCTTCTCAGAGCTGAGTACTTACAGGCAGATGCAGGGACCTTCGGGCACCTCAGATGCCTGTTGACCATTTGAAACCTATTTGAATGCTATTTGGATCCAACAAATGTAGTTCATATGCATCAGATCATTTTTTTTCTCAGACTTAACCCAAATCCTAATTCTTTAGGGGAGAGCTTGGTTCTCTAAGACTCATTCATCTCACGGCCTAACCTGGACATCCCTGGTCCTGCTCACTCCAGGTCTGTGTTTTGGGAAAGATAGGAGGAACAGACTGTTTTTAGAGTGCACCTAGCACCTAGCCAGGAGGGGATGAATTCTAGCACTTGTACATGGCCCAAACTATAACTAATCAGGGGTTTACCTTAGAGAACCCATAAGTCATTCACAGAAAAGGCAAGATGCTATTGCACTGACGGAAGTAGAGACTAAAAGCAATGGAGGAAACATTAAATGTGTGCCACTCAGTTACACATTCACTGCATGCTGCATCTGATGGCACAATAGGATGGGAATAGGGGGTTGATTCTCTAACAGGTTTGCATTTTTTATTCCTTTACGCATTTCTTTCTATTTTTGATTGTTAGGTACTCACTCTTGTATTCAGAAGAGATAAATGTGTGCATGATACACGATGTAGTTCCAGTTTGTGGTCTATGAGTAGCTTTGCTTTGTTTATCCTGGAGTTTGTGCTTCATTTACCCCTGAGAAATTTTACAGTTTCACAATATGACTTTTGAAATCAGAGTTCTGGTGGCATTTCCATTTATACAAAGCCACGCAGCTGCTTTTTTGTTTTTCTTTCAATAAAATATTTTTCTGGGTCCTTCACCCATAAAGCATGAGGTCTATCTACCTTCTTTCTAGCTGTTCCTGAAAGCCCCTCTATGTAAATTGATGTGACATTCCCACAAGAAAATTGTTTAAAGAATGAATGATATTTCTGTAGTTTACTGTTTTTCACTTTAAGTACATTTTCTGACAATATGTCTTATATTAATCATTTAAGCAATAGTAAGAGCTTTAAAGGAGTGTATTCAGCAGCAAGAATCCATGGTTCATTTAGTGCTGTCTAAAAAAATTTCTTATTGATTGGCATCCACTGTGGTTATGTGATGTAATATTTATAATATGTCACCCAGCCATACATCAAAACAAGTATATGTATGTGTGTTGTTTCATTTCCAAGGAGATGTTGATTTCAAAGAGGTCAGCTCAGTTTTAGGTGATGCTGTGGCCAACCGCTGGACCAGAAATGGGAAGTGACTAGATTTATGAAGTCACAGATTTTTGTGGAGCCTTTCCTTCCCCAACCCCCAATAAACCCTTTTGGCTTCCTCACGTCCCCCTGTGTACCTACCCAGTTGGATTTTCTTGGCACACAACCCTACAGTAAAATGGGCTCATTAAATTCCTGTGTGAGCATGAACATACTACTGAGTTGTTGAGTTGTTGCTGGGGCAGGAGGGAAACCATGCCTGGGGCTCCCTTTGCCATCCATCATAGCTCCTGGCTGAGAAATGTCCTTGGCCATGTTATGGGAGCTAAAACCTACCCGAGCTTTGCTGTGTGGATTACAGTGGTGCTGTTGTGGGATGAATGTTGAATGGATGCAAATGTGGTAACAGAAGCCTTTGGGATTGGGTCAGGAAAAGAGAATAGGCAGGAAAGACTTGGCCAGAGAGACATCATAGCACTTAGAGACTTTGGGTAGACTTTGACACAGGCCAAACTAGCAAATCAAGTATGATAAACTTGGATACTAAGACTGGTCTGTCATTTGTCTTCCTTTTTGTCTTCTTGTTTTCTACAATGCTTTGGAAGTCAATAGTGGACGAAGTGCTGGGCTTGAATCTTTAAACAAGGGTCCTTCAAATAAGCTTGCTCTATTCCAAACCTTTTGTCCTGCATTCCCTTGCACCCTGATAGTCCCTGGTGGGTCTCCTCTTTTCCCCTAATATAAGCCCTAATGTACTCCTTGCAACTTTAAATTATTTAAAATATGGTGTCTTTTTTCTTTGTTCTCTGGTAGGGAGCAGTGCTGGGGCCTGTCCAATGTCTATAGCACTCAGTCCAAGGGCAGGCAGGCAGAAGAGACCCTCCAGGCCTGGGCTGTCCTAGTCTACCACCATTTCCCACTACATAGAAGCTGTAAAACTTGTGGTTTACATAACCCAGTTAGCATTCCCCAGCTAATCTACAATCCGGGCTTTGAAGATCACAAGAAAGCAAAGGTCATGACCCTGAGATCAAAGTGACAGAAGCCCACATAGTAATTGCTGGTTACCCTCCATAGAGGCCCTTGGACTATCCTGTGGGTGTATTGTTTGCACAGAGACTTCAAACATGCTGCTGGAGAACTGTGAGGAAAATCAGCTGGTCTTTGGTAGTTGTCAGACATTCATTAATGCTGTAGGTGAGCTCACTTCAGACTCATTAGAGTGAGTCATTGTCATCTCTCTGAGCATCTGGAGCCCTTCCACTCTTAGTGTTGTTCAGAACTCCTTGGCCTTTATTGGCTTTCTCTCACTATCTGTATCTGGAGGCGTTGTGGAAGGAAGGGGGAGGGTTATGCAAGGGAATCAGGACATTGAGAAGGGATGCTATGGAAGCACTTATAAACCAACTTTGAGGCACAGAGAATTCAGTCCAGATAATTTGAAGGATGCTTAGACACCATTTGGCCCATCCCTTCCATTTCACAGAGAGATAAACTGAAGCCCCGAAAGACAGCAGAGACTAAACTCAAGATCCTCTTCAGCCCCCAGAGATAAGCTCTAATCCTGGACACTTTCCTCTACCTTCTTAGCCCCCAAGATTTTCATTATGAAGACCTTACCTCCTTTTTAATTTTCTCTTCCACCTTTGAAAGGCTTTGGGCTCATGCTTTTTTTCTTTTTCTTTTATTAATCAGCCATATTTAGCAGTTGATCAGTGCTTTTGGTCAGCATGAGGTAACCTGTGTTAGTAAACCTCCTGAGGTAATGCAAGGAAGTGAGATATTTGTTGGCATAAAGGAAGCCCTGCTGTGGTAAGTGTTGTTGTGGATTGAAAACAGCTCATAGATCACCCATGGCTGTAATCTGCCCAGGTAGGGCATCAGTAGCTCATTGTATCCCTGTTTGATACATTGGCCCAAGAAGGCAAAAGGCAGAGAATGTTATAAATGGAAAGAAATAGAAGATACTTCGGTGACCCAAACTTCCTCATTCCCTTAGGAACTTCTCTCTGTCTCTCTGTCTCTGTCTCTCTCTCTCACGTGCCAGCTTGCCTACCTTCTTTCCTTGCATCCCTTCCTCCATCCTTCCCTCCTTCCCTACTTCTCTCTCCCTGCCTCTTCCTTATTTCTTCCCCTCCTTTCCTTTGACAGGGTCTCATTGTATAGCAAAGGCTAGCCTTAAACTCTTCTTGTTCCTCCTATCTTTGATTTCCCATGTGCTAGGATTACAAACAGGCTTGATAACATTTGGTATTTAGTGAATAGGCTCCAAGAAAGAAATAGGGTAGCCAAACCCCTTCAGCAGATATTGGTGATGATCAGAGATTTCCTGTGGTTGTACCCTATTAACTGGGGGAGCAGCCAGTTCTCCTGGGGTAACCATTGTGGGCAGAAGGAAAGAACATCTCTCTCTTTGAGGTCTAGATGGGAAAAAAACAAAAAACAAAAAACGCCAGAGCACTGAGATAGGAGTGGAAAAATTGGATTTTAGAGAAAACAAAACCCAACACAAAACCCAAACAAAAGCTTTAGGTTGTTCCTTTTCTCCTGCTACGTTTTTCAGTTTTAGCTCTGTCGTTAAAGGAGGCTTAAGAATATGGGACATTCTGCATGAAATGGGAGAAAACCTGGGATACCCTGGTGGCTGGTCTTTCACTTTTAAGAAATCAGTTTTCAGACAGAGACAGATGAGTATTTAAATAGCTTCTAGGACCCCTGCTCTCTTCTTGATAACCTCATCTTCCATAACAGAGCCCCAAATGGCTCTGGCTCCCACCACCTTCAGCCCTGGGGGCTTCCCCTCAGCCACCTTGAGAAGGTCAGGAAAATTGGAGTAGCCCTCTGGAGCTAGGGACTTGAGACTCAGAACTTAGACGGATCTCTTTTCATTAAGCAATGCCCTGGCTTAACAAGCAGTTTTATAAATCTGAAGCTGTCTCCGGGTGTTGCAGGATTTATGGATGGGGGTTTCTGCCATAAAGTGGTTTATGATGGCTGCCTTCTGTGTTATTAGTAGCTGTCTCTTCCTTCAACCATTGCTGTTTGATAATAGCCTTAAAACACCCAGAATTACTTACCTGCAAGGCCCATTCCCGATAGCCCCTGTTGACAGTCTGAATAAGTTTACTGCCCTTTTGTTGTACTTTACCTTCAAAACAAACTGATTGAACCATCAATAGCTCGTGGAAGCTGACAGAGGGATGTCATCTGGACTAGCCCTTGTGATTGCAGGTTATCTGGGGGAGTTAACCTTCCCGCATTGTTAACTGAAATGTTTTATGTACTATGCAACTTTAGGATACGGCTGTGATAACCCCGGTAACTAAGTAATACATCACAGTAAAGAGGTTTCGGTGCAACAAATAACCCTGGATTAAATTTACAAGGGTTGAATTGATATTGTAAAAGCTTTCATTCTGTGGCTTCAGGAATCTGCTCTTGTATTTTTATGGCAAACTTGTATTACACTCAGGATTGAAGCTGCGGCTTTTTGACACCCTGACATGACCTAGAATAAAGGGAAATAGATCTCCCAAGACCAGGATGGGATAGGCAAGCCAGAAGCCTACTGACTTATCACTTGGCAATAATATTGGATCCAGTTCTAAGTCACCAAGGGCCAGGAAGGTCTGGGCTGTTGTCTGGGCTCTTTGTAGACCCCCCTCCCCCACATGGTTGGCAGCCCTGAGAAGGAGGCTCATGGCTGCATCGCCATGCTCATAATTCCAAAACTATTATTCCTCATCGAGTTATTTTTCACTAGGACATTGGTTCTCAGCAGGACAGCAGCAGCACCTGGGAACTTATTAGAAACATAAATTCTAAGCCTCACTCCAGAACTCCTGAATCAGAAAGTCTGGGGGTTGGGGACCAGTGATCTCTGTTTAAACAAGCCTCTGAGGGATGAGCAGCGATGCTGATGCCTACTCGTAGTTGCAAGGCACCGTGATAGAATATAAGCTCCTTGAGAGCAGAGGCCTTCTAGTCTTTTCATCACCGTATGTCAGCACCTTGCACAGTTCCCCACAGGAGCTAGCAGCCCAATGCTTATTTCTTGAATGTACGAAAGATACATGAAAGAAGACAACTTGAAGGAGGAAGTTTGAATGCTGGTCTGAAGTTTGACTTGGATCAGAATTCATCCATTTAGCCTGGACGATGAATGTCAGATTGAATTGATGACAACAGCTCTTCTTAGTGACCTTCAAACTTCTCTGAACAACAAGCACCTGGAAACTCAGGCCAGTCCTGAAGATGGAATCAAGTCACCCTGAGAATCAGTCTATGTTACCCCTGTCTGTCTCTTCGATTGTATCAGAAGGGTGTTCTGAAGACAGCAAGCTCTTTGTCATCTAATTTTTTTAACTAGCTTAAAAGCCAGCACCTCTCTCTGTCTTTCTCCTTTGATTTCAGGGCTGTGATCCAAAGTGAGGCGAAATGACAACGTGCGGTCTGTTGTCATCGTGGTTCCTGCCAGCCCCGGGAAGGAATCTTTCACTCCATCATTAAACAGTGGCTGATTTTCTAATAGTGATGTTGTCTTCACCTGAATATTCATCTTTCCCCACCTACACTTAGAGGGCGTCTCGACTCTTTTGCGCGTCACTCCTGACATATTGTTTCTGTCTGTACATGTCTTTATTTGAAAGAATCTGTTGTCATCCAGAGTTTGCCGCTACAAGCAGAAGATGGAAGTTTTCTCTGACAGTCTGAGGCCGGTGGGAATTCTACTTGGGGTAAAAAGAACATTTATGCCCTGGATAGCACTTTCCTGATATTTTGAGTAAGGTTAGGGGTATTTGGAAAGGTAAGGGGGCAATACTTGAAGCCAGGTAAGAAGAAGGAAACAGACAGGGTCAAATTCCAGATCAGGCTTTAGGGTGGACTGTGTTGGAGAGGAAAAATATACCCCAAAGTTACTTCTGAGTGTTTTGATTTTTAACAGAGAACAGTGAGAAAATTGTCATTGGTAGCCAGTAAACAGTTCTCATTGGCTCTTGAGTAACCAAGCCACGCCTTTCACTTGGACAGGCATATGAAGACCATTCAGCATTAGGAAATCACCTGTGAATATGAGAGGTAGCCCTGGAGGGGGCTCCTGGGAGGCACAAGCATATTACATACCCACTTGAGATTTTTGTTTCTCCTTTCTCTCTTAGCTTTTGATTATTATAACATGCATCTGTACATACCTCTAGTCCTTAGCTGCCCTAGTTTGTGTGTGTGGATGTATCTTCCCCATTCAAGGGAGTAGAGGGGTTCACATCTGAATTCCTCTGTATTCCTAGAACCTGGCACATCATAGGTGCCCAAAAATATTTGAGCATCTGGAAAAATGGTCTTTCTCTGTGGTAGGAAGTCTCTTTGGAATCATATATCTATTGACAGCAAGGGTCTACTGTTATTTCTAAAGTTGACTTGTATGTCTATGTAAAATACAACCTTTGTAAATATCTCCAAAGAAGTGAAAAAGACCTAAACTAAAAGCTCAAAGGTGGGGATTCCTAAGGATGCAACAAAAATTGCCACACTGCAACTTTAAGGCTTACCTCACCTTCTGATTGGTTTTTGACTCTTGTCTCCAGGTGCTTTGTTTTGTACAAACTGCCCAACTTGAAGTTCCTAGATGCCCAGAAAGTAACCAAACAGGAACGAGAAGAGGCATTGCTCAGAGGGGCCTTCATGAAGGTTGTGAAGCCCAAGGTACGCTGCCTGTTCACTGTTCTTCATGAGAGTGACACATTTCAAACCATTGCTTATTCTTTTGAGCATGATGTATGTCTTTCTTGTGTTTAGAATGCTGGTAAAATCTTACACTAGGGATACATGCATAGATCTACTGTTGATCATGAAATAGGACTGGGTATACATTGGGTCTTCCTGTGACCTCGTCTAAAGGAATATTTTTTTTGTAGATGCTTTAGCCTAATAAACCAGTACCACACTCAGTTCAGTGGTGAAGTTTTTCAAGTGAAGTTTAGGCCACCTCCTCAAAGCTATTTTCTTTCTTCACGTCTGGAGTAGAGAAGGGAGAAGGCATCAGGCATTTTCTATTTGGGGTGGTAGGATTTCTCTAGTCCTTCAGAGGACTTCTTTCTTGTTACTGAAGAGGAGTAAGGAGAGAGTAATTTCCATCTGCCACAGAGGAGGGCCCTGTAGCGTCTGAGATAGTATTAGCACAGAAGGCAGTATTTTCTGACAATGTGTCCCAGGGCCTGCATGTGTTCCCCACATGCAGTTCACCAGGGTCTGTTTGAGTGCTGTTTACTGACCTTTCTTTTACTAACACAGACTGAAAGTGAACCAGGTGTCGCCCTAATGGCAGCTCTGATGAGGCAGGGGAGATTTGCCTTGGGGGTCACAGAGTCAGACACAGGGATTTTTTTTAAGGACATCTATTTCCCTGAGAGAAGTTTCAGTCCTTCAGTGAAGCCTGAGACTGGGGAATGGATTCAGTGACCCCCAGTGATCCCTTCATAGAACCATCACCACTCTGGGGCTCTATGGAGCTGTGCAGTCATCTCCCAGGATTGCCGCTTGTGTGTTTAAAGTGCGGGCACGGAAATGCTGGATGTCTAGTTTGTCTTCACTTATTGACTTATAGCTCTCTATACATACATTGGAAATGATTAAAGTGAGGAAAAGAAAAAAAATAAAACCAAAACAGAGCAGAACAATGGAACCTCTTCCATCTAGTTGCTCAGTTGGCAGCAGACCTCCAGCCGTTTTCTTTCCCTGAATCCATGAGGTGCAACTGATTTCCCGTTATGCTGAATAAAATTGCTAACAGTTGTGGAAATATATGATATAGAGGGTATAATAGTGGCAGATAAATGTATTGTCCCCTGTTTCAGCATGTAGGAAATTAATGAGTGATTAATTTCATAGCTATTAAAGTGTTTAACAGTTCTCCTTATTGGGAAACAGGTTTGACGTACTGCACCTGACTGCTTGTAGTTATTCCAGCCTTTGTAATTTTGTCCAAATGAAAGAATTTATTTCTTGGCCTTTTAAAAAACTTTTTTGGTGAAAGGATTCCAGAAATAGTTGATATTGCCAAACCCAGTAAAATATAACAGATGAACTCCTTGTAATCTCGAGTTAGACCCTGCCCATCTTCCATTTCCCACTTTCACATATATACGTATAGATAGATTGGTACTTACCCTGCTCTTGTTAGCCTCTGGCATGGAAAGCTATCCCATGGTTCTGCTGTCAATTGCTTCAAAGTGAAACTTGAATGAGTAATAAGTATATTGTCTGTTTGACTTGTATGGGAACTTGGTTCATGACTATCTCTCTTCTAGTGTTGCTTCTATATATAAATTGGTGAATCCTCATCTAACCCCATAAAGCAGAAAGAAGGGATTATTCACTTTTACTTTACAGATGAGAGACATCAGGCCCAAAGAAAGTCCCTGGGTGTCCTGAGGTTACCTAGATGGGAATTCCCAGAGCTTTCCCTTGTGTCTGACCATGGAACCCAAGTCTTCTTACCCTACTTTATTACTCCTAGAGCAGTGATATAAATACATTCCCCATGGATCTCTTTGTTCAAATGAAACCTAATTAACTGGAGGGCCTAAATAAAGAGAACAGGTGGATTTAGGACTCTTTAGGTGGACTAGAGATGGAGAGAATTGGAATCCCCCTCTTGCTTTTTAAACTAATCAGAAATGGCTCCTCAAAATTCTGCCATTGCCTGATTGAATTATTAGCAACATCAGCAGAAGTGTCTTCAGAGTTTCCAATTAGCTTCCAGTCAATTTTAGAATTAGCTCATGTTTGTGTGATTGACTCTAATATCATTACTAACTATATTAAGCTTTTAAATGCCTATTAATTATTTGAGAAAAGACTCCAATAAAAGCATGGGACTCATTGGTTCTCTTTTTGTGGAGTCCCATAATTTCCAAATGAGAGGACTTCAGAAATCAGTGGCTTTTGTTCTGTGGATGAGCAGCCTTGGGGAGGGCACAGGGTCCAGAATAAAGGGTCTTGGGCCTCTGGTTAGATGCTGTATTTATGTCATGATCCTTGAAGAACCCAAGAAAATTCCAGTATGTCATCCAACTGCCTGTCTCTTGAATGGCAGGCAATTCTCTTTTGTTGTTTTCAGAGACATACAGTGGTATTTTTCTCGCAGATAGAGCCAAATGAGCTCTTTGCTGAATTAATAAACTGGTGTTCAAAAGGCTGCTGCTCGCCTGTTCACAGTGTGTACAGACATGTGTTTGCTCCTTTGCAGGTGTGTATATATGTTTTCTGTCTCTGTGTATATATCCATATGTATGTTCTGGGAGGTATGTATATGCTTAGCGTAGATTTCTAAGTGGAAAGCAATTTCCTTCCCATGAATTGCCGACACTGTGCTGTGAACACTGGCTAAAGACTGTTTTTCATAACAGAGTCGGAATCTCAAGTTGGTTTCTGTCCTTCCCAGGGTGGTGGCAGCCTGTTGTGCTTATTCAGCAGAATAATCTGACGGATGATCAAGGAGGCCATGATTTGGGGAGCTGTTTTCATTTTATTCCTGACATAAAGTATTTGGGAGAATGGAAAATGCCTCTCCAATCATAGCCCTTGCCTTAGAGGTAGGGAATGGGCAGGCTGGGTGTTCTCTGCTGATGCAATTGCAAAAATCAGCCAGGAACTAATCATCCTCTGTGTCACCAAGGTTTGATTTGGTACCTGGGAGGCCTTGGTGCTTGAGTAAGAGTTCTCTCTCCACCCCTCCCCTTCCTGATGACACATTTTCCCTCTATTTTTGTCTTTTGGCTTTTGTTGTTTTACTTCTATCTGAGCTCTGCTTGTTTTATGGAGAGATGTCATTTGTTAGGAGGTGATAGCTGATGTTACAATGGGCTCTTCCAGACTGTGAGTATGTATGTGCGCTAGTGTGTATATGAGTGTGTGTGTGTGTGTGTGTGTGTGTAGACAGTTAATGGACCTATAGCAGTTAATATTTTATTTCCCCAAAATACATCTACACACACACACACACACACACACACACACACACACACACACACACACACACACTTATGCCAGGTACCAATTGCTCACACTTATCTTAGCTGTTTAGGTGGTTGAGATCTGAGGCCAGCCCAGGCAGACAAGTCTGAGAGACCTATATCTCCAGTTAATTACCAAAAAGCCAGGGTTATAGCTCAAGCAGAACACTAGCCTTGAGCAATAAAGCTAAGGGACAAAGTGAAAGCCCTGAGTTCAAGCCCTTGTACTGACCATTGACTCATGCCATTCTCAATACAGAATGCACCAAGATGGATACAGAGAAGAGTAAGACCCCCAAAGAAAGACTCCTGAAATGACCAGACCATGAACCCCTGGGAAATATCAATCAAAAGAGTGCAGAGGTCTGTCCAGGAGGCCAGGGTATGTGGTAGGAAGCCAGTCTCACACATCAGAGCGACAGCTCAAAATCCTGACAGTCACAATTGCTTAATTATGTCCTGGCTTTGTAATTATTCATCCCTGTTCTGGCAAAGACCACAGTTGTCATTTCTTTGACATAATTATTTAAAGCTGATCCCTCTTGTTTACAGTCATGTATACAAAGTTGGCTACCAACTGTTTAATCCTCAGAACCTTCGGGGAATCATGGGCAGAACAGCTACGGAGACCCTGGACAAGGCAGCACAGCCTCTACTGGAAAGGGTTTTGGCATGCGTGTGTTTGCTTGTGCTCATGACCATTCCTTCTAGTTAATGTGTGTTGACAGATACATTTCTTAACATAGTATTGGTGTGTCCTTGAAGCTTTGTCATGCATTTCTTCATGTGAGTATGTTTGGGTTTCCCATCATATGCAGCTTGTGTATTTGTGCAATTTTATATAGCTTATGTATTTGTGTGGCTATATACTTGGATATTTGGAAGGGTAGGCTATGATGTCTATGGGCATATGAGCCAGTGAGAGAGAGAGAGAGAGAGAGAGAGAGAGAGAGAGAGAGAGAGAGAGAGAGAGAGAGAAGAGAGGGAGAGAGAATATATAAAAAAGAAAGGATGAAGAAGGGAGGAGGAGAAAGAGGACAAGACATGATATGTAATAGGAATAAACTTGAGTTCATGCCCCTACTGGAAATCTTTTCTATTCTTATCCTTAAATGGAGAGTTGGTAGTATCTTTGGCTTAAAAATAACCTGCTCCTGGGTCCACTACACAATCCTGCTCTTGACTTTTGCAGTTAGGACCTAATTCCCCTGCATAGTTTTAGTTTCTTCCATCTGAGTGTATGTTTTGAGATTTCCATGAAAAGTGCAAGGTAGGATAAAGACAGGCAGTGATACTAATAGGGAAGCCAACTCTTTTGAGATAAGGAAACTACGCATCCATTGGAATCCCAGCTCCAGAGGGTCAGGAACTTGGCTTGTTTTGTTTTCTTCCCCATCTCTACCACCTGGCCCATACCAGAAATTCCACCAACAGGATAAACAACAGACCACTTCAGGAGGTGACCTGTAATGAAATCTTACACATTTTGAATCAATTTACTCAACATAATCATCTGGGAAAGCAAAGGGGAAAAAACCACGGCCCTCAGAAAATGTGATGAGTTGAACCTGTACGGTGTTGGAGAAGACCAGTACTGTGTTTCACACTCATTTTTGCAAAGGATTTACCCAGAAATTATTTATGCTAGGAAGATCTTTGGCTGTCATGATCTCTTACCTTGACCTGTCC